GCATGGCAAATCATAGACTTGGTATTAGGGATAGAAACAGGATAGAGACGGTGGGGACCGGAGCTAGTTGACTGACGGTAGGTCTGTTGTACCAGAGACGTCGTCCATGTAGCAAATGGGTGACCATGACACTCAGAAGCTTGCGCCTCGAATTAGTCACCCAGGCGCAGGGAAGGGCACATAACGCCTCGGATAGGACAGATGTGGTGGCAGGAGGCGAGGGAAATAAGTGAACGAGGGAGAGTGCAGACGGATTTTACGGAGCAAGAGAGAGACTGGGATAAGACTAGAGAAGAGGATTGCATAATAAAAAAGCAGACTCTGATCAACATTCCCTGCACAATGATGAAAGGGGGGTGGAGAACGAAAGTTGGAGTGTGAAGGTGCCATATCGCTCAAAGGAGCACACCACATTATATCCAAATAAACACGGTAAAAATTGTAAAAGTGAAGGCATGATAGGATGCTACCGGAAACGCGAATAACTCAGTGCAGAAGGGGAGATACCACAATTGTTTAGCACCCGTTTGGTCAAAGGATCGGCTTCACTTGTCTCCTTGACGAGTTGTTGAATGGTGCTAAGAATGGCGATACTCACTGATGATGCCGGCGAAACGTCTGGGAATGTACCACGTCCACGGTCCTACTCTGGAAATGATCATGCATACAATGGACTCAGGACTAGGTGAGTTCCTCTAAGTCTTCCTACCAATATGACCAAGTTGCTAAAACAAGGTCAAACCACCTCTATGCAACGAAAGAAGACTGCTACCACACAAAAGGCCACACCATCTTGGTATTCATACCTCCAAATAATTTTTGCTTTTCTTCTTGTCGGTATTCCTTACATTCAAGGTATTTCATATTCGGTTTATTTCTATGGCTCTTCTCACATTTTATGATGGAATTATCGACAACGTTACTTATTTTATATATAAGTAGTGTTGGAAACTATCAGCAATTTAGTCAACCTAGGTCGCTCCCCTGCAGTCTCTCCTGGATGGATAAGCTGTTGGGAAGAAAGGCTAAGTGAAATTAAATGCCATTGTCAGACAACCTCATCATACTGTAGAAAAGGCATATGTATCCATCCTTAAATCGCCTTAAACAGTCTAGGCTGGCAAAGTTATTATCCAAAAATAACTTTTAGCCTCGAAACCGACTTATACCACAAATCTCTTTAACCTTGATTTGATTAGCTGAAGCCTATCGAATAGCGTCACCGCCACAAAGGCCTAGCTACAAATTTAAAATTGGTTCTAAATGAGAACTGCAAAGCATTTTAGGAAACCCGGTTGTTCTTGTCATCTGACAGGCCTATTCGTGTCCAAGCCAACGCGAAAGAAAGATCAAGAAAGCCAGAGACGCGTCGCTCGTCTTCATACCCAAATGCTTTTTAGGTTGGCATTGGGCTATCCTTCTCCTATTTCAAACGAGGCGGCATGGTGACCGTTTGTGCCAGCCTTTAGGGACTGGAGAACGAGATCGCTAGAATGTGCGAATCACGGTAATCCGGGCAGCGGAAAAAGTCGGCATTCTGGATGGACTTGTCGAGAAGGCCAAGAGACAGCTTGAGAAAAAAGGAGGCTAGTTAGCTCTGGCTGGTTCGTGCAAGACGTTTTACCATTCAAGCAACTGTGGGGAGAATGCTGGTGAGGGTGGAGCAGAGGAGGGTGAATGGTCTGCAAGAATGCGGACCTGACTGTATGAGCCGGAGAGGTGGGGAAAGGGCAGATGTGAAGAGAAAGGCAGAGTGAGGGGCATTTCGCAACTCTGCCCCGAACAGGTGCCGGCCAACTGACTGGGCCTTCTCGACCCTCGTGACGTGCATAGTACCCCGTCTTTACCTCGGCCAGCTTTATTTCCGTACAACTCACCTTCAGCCGGTCTCTGCAACAGCCAACCGCCTGACTCGTCGTCCCTCCTCCTTGTCCCATTATCTTCCGGGAGCCTACTTTAATGAGACCAGAGGAACTCGAACTTTGGCGGGCAAAGGCAATATCCATGTGGAAAGAAGGGTCCGAACACGCCGAAATATGATACCAAGTGGGGCGAGGGGAGGAGGAGGAGGAGGAGTGAACCATCCGTAGCCCCGTCTCCGCGGGTCAATTCATTCTTTGCTTTGCATGTTCATCCATTCGCAAGCGTACACGTGGACGCATGTGCCGCCTGGGCAGGTGGAGACAATGTGACCGGTAGGCTTTTTGATGAGAACATATGCTGACCGAATTTGAGTTGGAACTGGACTTTCGAGGTCTCCATAGGGCAGACCGAGCGAGAGATTATGGGTGTACTTACTTCTTGTAGACTTCTTGTAGACTTCTTGCATGCATGCATGCATGCAGGCAGGCATACATAAATGCAGATGTGCGAAAGAGGGCAACAGAAAGTTGAATGGGCCAGCGGAGGAGAGAGCATGTGAGACGGATAGGAGGCAATGAAAAGTGGAGTGGAGCGGAGCGGATGGGATGGCACGAATGTGAAAGATGTGCTCTTGTAGGCAAACCCACGTCTTGCCTGACCAGTGGCTTTCACACTAGTTGAAACCAGAGACATTTGTTGGAGGTTCATTAAAACTAAATGGAGCATGGAGCCGGGCTGGCAAAGTCAAAACGTCCCCCCAGAAGCCATCTGGTGCACACGGCGAGACGGATGATAGGCAACCATCCAAAACCCGTTGCCAGAGCTGGCTGGTACTGTCTCCCCTAGGCGTCTTCGGCATAAGTTGACGATGACGCTACCGTATGTGCTCGCCGCATCATGGCCAAACACAGAGACTTGTGCTGCTTGAAGTGTCTGGTGGAGGTGGAAGTCTGCTGTCATCGGGACGTTGTGTTTGGGCATGTTGGGAGCTCGACAGAGGCGGCCAAACTGGGCGAGAAGCGACAACAGGTACACTTCAACCTGTTAATGGGGGGACAAACTGACCTAAGAAGCCGAGATGGCGAAAATCTTTGTCGCTCATCATTTCACATACATCCCTGGCCTCGATATAGCCCCGGTCTCTTTAACTCTCTTTCTCTGCTCCTCCCAACCTTAGCTTCATCTTCACCTTTTACCACTAAACTGCCACAAACGTGATAAGGTGAAGCAACTGGGATGCGTCTAAATAAATTGATCTTTTGCCCTGGAGAATAAGTTTAGCAAAACTCACTTATATGATGTGTATTCACCCCATTTCGTTCAAGTGATAAGGAGACTAGTAGTTGAATTTTCCCACAATCATATGAATAAACCTTACGTTTTCATTGAATTCCATATAGCCTTGCTTTGCCAGAAGGTATTTTCATCCAGGAGGGACTGCAATTCCTACCTCGCCTCGGTTTTATCCATACCCGCGGCGGGACTCGAACCATGCTATTGTAGCACATAATCTCGGCACGTTAACCGCTACGCCACAATGCCATTAGTGCCTATGGGTCACAGGGCATATATGAATGTCAAGAAATGACATGAATTTTCCCAAATCACATTCTGCTGTGGTATTGTCGATGAATCAAAAATGTATTTTCTATGGAAGCGTGTAATCTACTCACATTATTGTGGGAAAATTCAACTGAAAGTCCTCTTAACAAAATTGGATAGATACGCCTCATATATATGATCGACTAGTAGTCTCGAAAAACTACTTATAAAAATCGAAAAATAAGACATGGGGAAATTTACTTTTATACTAAATGAGTAGGTTTTCGACAGATATATGAGTTACGTTTGAGGTGATAAGACCTCAAGGTGGAGGCTGCAGTCAACTCTGGATGAGAACACCTTTTAGGAAAGCAAGGCTATGTGAAATTAAATGGAAAACATCAGCTCTACTCATATCATTGTGGAAAAATCAACTACCAGTTATCGAAAGAGGCTGCGTTTTCTTTGGGTGAGGTTAGCTTTGAGGCCCATTTTTTGACCCGAGACCTGAGGTTTGAGCTGCCCACGATGCTATTGAGTGAAAGCCACATACTTTTCGGGAATTAACCCTAGCATAAGTTACATAGAGGTTTTAGTACCCATGTTGTCTGAGGAGATCTAGGAGCAGTGTAGACAAACAGGAGGGATGGCGAGCTAGAAGGAGTCTTTGGGCTAACTTGTGTAATTAAGCAATCAAAACACGAACCTAAAATGCCTTCTGAGTTATTTGCATTTTTGCACTTCCACAATTTTTATGTAGCACACTCGGATGTAAAAAGTCGCCAAATGTCGTTTGAAAGATCAAGCATCTATTTGGCTATCAGCATAAGTAGGTGGTTTGGGCTAACCTACATAAATATTTATCAAACGATGAACTTCCACTTGTACTTTCCAGGAGTTACGATAATCCTTGCTACACGTCACATAACTTTTTTAAAATAATGGAGACCAAGGGAGAATAAGTAATAATAATTGTAATAATAAATAAGGGTGTACTGCTCTGACGATGTCCATCACATGAGAGCTCAGCAAGAGACAGGGAGGAGTTAGTTGCACAAATGTACAGTCACGGCTCGACTTCGACTTATGAAGAGGCCAACATACGAATTTCCCTGTCTCGTCTCTTCAAACGAAGGCTATTAAAGGATTCTTCGAAAATCAGTTTTTGAATATATTTGCGAATATTTCGTGTGTCATATGACGGAAATCATCAGAGCAGGATATCCTTTTTGCAATGAGGTTAACGAACCGAGAAAACTCAAATCATATATATTTATCTGGAAACGTGTGTGTTCGCATGGTTGTGTGCGCTTATGTGCCTTCATGTGTATGCATTTGTACGAAATCAACCGCGTCAGCTCAAAGTAATTAGGAAGGAACATAATATCTTTCGAAGATATAAAGACCAAGAAGACCATTCTAAATATAAATATTTGTTTTCGTATTGGAGTAGAATTTCGATACTAACAGTAAATCATTAATATGAGATATATTCACCCTATTTCGTCTAATGTGATGAAGGACTGGTATAAGAATTTTTCTACAATGATATGAGTTGAGCTGACTTTTCCATTAAATTTCACATAGCCTTGCTTTCCCAAAAGTTGTTCTCATCCAGGCTGAGGTGGACTGGAGTTTCGACCTCGCATCAGTGGTCGTTTCTATACCAATCTCCCTTGATTTCGATGAAATGTGGGGCTCTACCGCTTCCTCGTTACAATCGAAATGAGTGTCCATTTAATTATAACCGAAGTCTTCTTCTTTTTTCTGGTAATACTGACCCAAAATTCCATGTGAGATAAGACTGGAAGATATAGAGTGAAAAAATGCGATGAAAAGTGGGGTTTTGAGGAATCCATTGGCCTAAACATTTTGAGCTCACTCCCATTCACAGTTGAAGTGTGCGAGGAGGGGATTCAAAGGTCGATCCCATCAGAAGACGACGGCGGTTGGCTGTAACGGGACATGTTTTAGGACGTGGTTGCCAAAACAATCTCCTTCGATTCCGATGAAAGCATGCTAGGATCTTATTTGCCCTATCATGGGTATCATTCCTATATTCACATTCAAGCTAACAAGTTAGG